GTCGTACCAGGAACCATACGGCACTGAGTCAAAATAAAATATGGAGGAACACTTTGCTGTGAGAAGGAGGTCAGATAATTCATAGCAAGAAGAAGAAATCCTTTTAAATATTTGCTTGGTCCTCATCAGATTTTAGAACTGATGATGTTAACAGTTTATTTGTGCTATTCTTTAAAGCTAAAATTTGTGACGTGTCAGTCCTGATTATTCTTGGTTATCATGTCAGTGTCATGTATGAAGTGACAATGACTAAACGATCTTGCAGCCTCTGTTACATACAATTTCCCTCCAAGAATTTCTGGAAGAAGCTGCTCCAATCTCCAGGTTCAGGTTGCAGCTGGGACATGCAGGAAAAGTAGAAATAAGACACCATGTTGTCCTTGGCATTGCGGGCCACATAGACCACCTGCAGAAGAGGACCAGAGACAGCCTGTTGGAGCATTTTGATGAGCTAACAGTTAGTGTCACTTATTTGAAATATCACTTGAAAATCGATCATAATTATAAGCTTTAAAGAGAAAATCATCATACATGCTTCTACAGCTGTTTGACTGTTTTAACATCCAATATTTCCACTCCTTGGGAGTCATAAATTAAAGGAAAACTCAAAACAGCATAAATGCTTCATTACCTTGCAGTTCTGCTCCCAAAAGGACTTTGGCACAAACTGGACAGGAAAGTGGGTTTTGATGAGTCGAGGGGTGGTGGGAAGATTTTCTGCCTGGTCTTTTCCTGTATGAAACAATACAACTGAAAACTCAACATCTAACTTCAAAATAGAAGAAACACTTGTTGCTTCAGTTATCAGTAGGCTAGTCATGTAATTTATCGTAATATTTTTATGACACAGCACAGAAAACTGTGACCAAATTTATATGCACTGTAAACTAAAGAGATTTTATGAAGCCTGAATACAAAGTTTGATCATTAACCTGAAATGAGGTTCGGGACGAAGATCTCCAAAAATGGAACTCTCTCAAAGATCGGGATGGTCGTCTGACGCTCTGGACACGTCTGACCAAAATACAGCAGGTCCAAGATGTAGGAGACCCACGTGGTACCTAAAGAGTTTGAGAAGCAAAGATTCATCTCCTCAGCAACACACACATTTCTGTGATTTTATGAAACACGCAGAAAGACGTGGACCTGCTTTGGGGTATGTTGCAATGAGTATATCATCTGGTCTGGCCTCAAAGTTTTGGACTTCTTCCCAGTTGTCCGTGAATAAACGAGTCATCGAGACGCCATGGAAATCAAATAGTTCAGGACGAGGCATATTGACCTTTAGAGTGCAAAAAGTACAATTAACCCAAGTGTGCTTAAGAAAAACAGGATGTTTCAGACGGCACAAATAATAAAAGAAAGCTGCATGAGGAGGTGAGGTCCTCAAATTTGCTGAAGCTGTTGTTGAAAGTAGCATGGAGCTTTTTTGTACATTTAAAACAATGTCCCAAATTAATCAGTATTGACTGCTCAGTAATGCACTGTACTATCATTCCAAAATTAAATAAATTAATAAATAAATAGAAAATCATACCTTCTCAGGATCCTGGGACATGTTGGTGTTAAATCCTGCCTGGTTCCTCAAACCCTCTCCTCTCTCCGCACCGAACTCCAAAACATGGAAAGTCCAGTTTGTATCCAGCCACACCTCATTTCTTCTTGAACTTTGACCTCCATATTTTTTTTTAAATACCTGCAGGATGCAGAAGTTAAAGTAATCTCACTCTTTTTTTTCACTTGTAGGACTTTACTGAACAATATCCACACATGCACACATCTACACAAACCCATCTCTTCAATGTTTCGCAACATGTTTTTTGTGATTTATTTGATTTAATTTTTTTTCATTTGTTTGACAGATCTGTTTTGCAAAACCTCCTGCTCACATTGACTTCAAAGCTTGCAGAATGACTTTATGCAGCAGCAGCTTCAAGTAATGACGTCATCGTCAGGCAGGGACTTCTCCCCTGCATGTTTCAAATAGTTGTCCCCGACTCAACTAAC